CGAACTCAATAGGCGGTCTCAGGATATGAAATGAATATGATCATACTAAAAAAGTTCAGCTTTCGGGACGGTTAACGATTGACTACAGCGCGGAAATGAGTCGAGCCGAAGTTAGAGATTGAAAAGAACAAAGATGGAAAGCCAAAAATTGAAGAGGACAGGACAGGTCTAACTACAAGGCAGAACTACAAATACTTATTCACATCTGGGGTATTGCAGACAAGGCATTGCGGAGCAAAGCAGGCGGGAAACCACACAGCGGACCAGGACACCCAATTCTTGACCGAAGAAACATCCATGGTTTCCGTCACTTCTGCTGTCGAGAGCCGACCACCCAACCGCCGCGCACACTGAACGCTCGACTGCCGGGTCAGCTGACCGCGACCCGCGCGGCGCCCGGTCACCGGTCAAGGTCATGCCCCGGGGGCGGATGGCGCTCGGTCGGCCCGGGTCAGCGCGAGGCGCCGGTCGCGGCTCGACCTCAGGCGCCTGGGTTACCGAAGAGAACGCGACGGACGGTGGTCCGACGTCAACAGTCCAGATTGACTGATGCGTCGTTGAATAGCCAGGAAAACAACAAACGACGGAGGGTGGGCGGAGGGGTGTGGCGGCTGGGACTGATTGACGTAGATTTGCTGAACGCAATGAAGCAGTGATTTTTGTTTTGTTGGGTTCAGGTTAGACCCTTTCGGTCCGACGAGACCATCTCAGGACCGGAAGGATAATAGCAATTAGGGGAGGAGATTGGTCTGGGCGAGCACCCTGGTAAGTCGCCGGGACTGAGCTTGTGCTCTAACGGGCATTCCCGCATGATATAGTTGCCCGTCCAGCCCGGCACAAGGGATTGAGATTTGAGCCTGAGGTATGGAGGAGAAAGATTTGAATGACATGAGGATGGAACCGACGGAACGGCGAAACAATGATATTTAAAGCTCAGTCTTTGTAGCTGATGCGAAACGGTTTGGCTTTTGTTTGGCTGATGAATCACATACTTAACAAGTAGTATTTGTGTAAAATGGCAAAATGATATTTTGAAACCCCTAGTTTTCATCGTTGTAGTGCTTTTATACTTATTATATGGTTTTTACCTGTTGCTTCAGTTTTTGTATTCTTGACATTTAAAAATTGTGAATTGTTATCAAATGTAGTGAAGGTAAAGTACAACAACACTATAGGTATCTGTGGTGCTGAGGATACCACTAAATGAGAATGATAGCAAGATAAATGCTGTATTCCTGCAAGCCATTGTTGCCTATCTGTTAACATTACTTGTGAATCAAATAATGATTAGCCAGCTGAGTGTGGGATCAATATTTTTATTTTCTGTTCAAAGTAAATCAATTTATTGATTGCCTTTCACTACCCTTCAGAATTCAGATTAATATGATCAAAGCAAAATCATTATGCTCAGTAGAGAGTTCCAACATTTATGTTCAACATTAGACATGTTCCTTGTTGAAACACCGGCTAATTCTTAAATGATTAGTGATTAAGAAATGGTGTACACTTATGCCCAAATATGGTAATGAAGAATCAATTTTTGATGCCTCCATTTTTTTATTCCAGAAGCCCAGTTTGCCCAACTGACTTCCTCATTTGTACTACATAGAAGGGTTCTAATGGCTAAAGTTGGGCCGTACTATTTTCTGGACAAATCGCCAGCTGGCGTCATATGATGGCGCTAGCAGAGCTTGTTATATATCAATGCCAGATACAAGTAACTTAATAGGTATCTATCTTTTAATTTTTCTATGAGTGCCTTTTTAGCATACGTGTTCATGTCCATCTCCCTCCATATTTATATTAATTAATAGCATAGGTAGCTATTGTACGTCGCCAGCTGGCCAGCCAGCTGATTTTATCCAGTTGTTAGTAAGGCCCCTAAATTTCAGACACCATGACCAAGGCCATTTATGTCATCCCATGCAGCAACATTACTAATGCTTATCTTTGTGCTAATATGCCAAAATATGCCTGGACTGTGAAAAGTGGTGCCCGGAGAGATGTTCACGGGCAGTGGGCACTGCAAACTGCTGAGTGCGGTGTGTGCACCAGGCGTGGGGGTTGGGGATAGGTAGGCGATTCTGACGTCACGGCTGCATGCGGTGGACGGTCCACTGTGGCCAGTCCCGACCTGCCACAGCCGTCGCTGTGTGCGGTGATGGAAGGCTGATGTAGGGACGCAGTGGGTAGAGCTTGGAGGCTGGGTGCGGTCCGACCACACACACAGCCCGTGAACAGCCCTCAGGCCACGGGTTAGTCTAGTACATATAGCTAGGTTTGAAAATTGAAATCATTTAATTTACAAACTTTCATAGCTGAAAAAATATTGATGTGCGCCACTGCCTGGGACCTGGGGTTTCTCTTTTTTTCAGAATCACTTAGGTACCTATTGCAATTAATCGACTTCATCTAGGTACCTATTGTATGCATCGATGTCAGTTACCAATGTCATCAACATTATAAAAATGAGATTAATACTCACCCAGATTTTTCGATGAAACCCCAACACACTCAACACATCCGAATCGGGAATAATCCAGCCCCCAATTCCCACACTCAATCAAAACAACACGCAATCCGCACCAATAATAACAGCGCCACAATCATCTATTGCGCACCGGTGCTTGTCACTGTTGCGCCGTTATGGGAATGAAAAGTGCAATGAAGGAAAAGTTTTCATCCGCTTTCATTTGCGATAAAATTTGACATCCATTCCCTTATTCATTGTGATGCAGCTTCAAAATTCTATTTTGGCAGAAGAAGTAAAAATAAAAGTCACTTTTGTTTTTATATATTCAACAGTAATATAGAAAAATGCAATAATTATAAACCTCTTGTAATATTGATTTGTGTTCAATAAGATATTTGCAGCATTTCTTGTTCAAAATGGATATAAAGAAATTTTATAAATAATTGATTTTCTTTGTAACCCATCAATTTCAAAATACCGAATCTAAATTGAAGATAGCAAATTAAACGTATAGTCAAATAAAAATGAAAAATACCTCAAAATTTGCTTGGAAGAACTATATGACGTCATTTAAAATTTCCTGGGAGATTCAGAATGTTGCTGTCCGTGCTGTCGAACAGATGGAAAATACATGTGAGTGAGTACGGTCAAATTATACTCTACAGCAACGTCCTACAATTTCTAAGGTTGCTAGTTACATAATGTTTACTGCACTGATGTGGTGATTGTCGAAGTTCCCATGGGATGGATGTTATTGATTTCTTTAACTTATGCCAATGAACGCAATAGGGACCGTAGGCTTGCGTCACCATACCTAGTGTACCTTTATTTCATTGTGCAAGGATAAAGAACCTTTGAATTGTGGTAGCCATTTCAATTTCATTTTTTGTCTGCTTGCAAAAGATCTGTATCCTTACAGTTGGAGTTGTGTTTTGCAAACTGCTTTATAAAACACTTTTTGCGTAAGTTTTTGCCCTGGGCAGTGGGCAGTGGGCGGTGTCTGTATATAGGGCCTTGGGCGGTGTTTCACGCAAGTTTCACGGCACTGTGCTGCTGTGCACTGCGTGTAGCAGTGTACTGGGTTTCCATGGAAGCATCAACAAACTTGGACATTTGCAAAACTGAAACTTCTCTCACCTGGTTCACTCACCTGGTGGGGTTCCCAATCTCATGTCTGCAGACAGGAAGGAGTAGGCAGGGATACAGTAGGAACCCGCAGACACAAGGTGCACCAGTAGTTGCTACTACCAGAGTGGAGTTCATGCTGAAGTTGTCTCAAAAGCCACATTCATACAGCTGAGCGCTGCAGTGCAGTGTTGTGGAATACTGGCCTGCCCTGTTGGTAGTTTCCTGTCCCATTTATTATATTGCTGAACTAATCTGAGCTGGGCTACCTGGTTGCTACTCAAGCACCCATGTTGCTTGCAGCTGGCATGTCAACTGAGTGGAGTGTTGATGCTGTGTTGACTAGAACCCTTTTCAGAAGACCTGGGTCCTGGATTCCCCTCAGAATTCTGTGCCAATTTTATTTTCTGATTATATGGATGCCTTCTATATATTTGAGGTGGTGAACAGTCACTAAACCAGTGGAAACTGAACCAATAAAACTGAATTGCGGACAACTGAATCAGTGGTGACTGACTACTAAGTCAATGACAACTGAACCAGAGAAGACTGAAACAGTGACAGCTGAACCAGTGGGCAAATGAACCAGTAACAACCAAGCCAGTGACAACTGAACCAGTGACAGCTGAACCAGTAAACATCTGAACTTGTGATAGCCACTGAACATTAGGTTATACTTAAGCATAGGTTTAGGTGAGGACTGAGGTTTAGGTTAGATTAAGGTTAGTTTTAGGTTGTGTTAGGCTAGGTTGAGTTGCGTTAGGTTTGATTATGATTATGAGTTAGATTTAATGTGAGCTTTTCCTGCTACCCAATGTGGGCAAGGGCCCAGATAAGTACTGGTTCAGCTGTCCACTGTTTCAGTTGTCACTGGTTCAGTTGTTTAATAGTTCAGTTGTTTACTGGTTCAATTGTTACTGGTTCAGTTGTCATGGAATCAGTTTCTTACTATCATTGCCCCAATATGAAAATTTTAGCTACATGATCAATGGTGTCTCAGAATATAACTAGATTAAGTTGTGGATATAATATGTGATTGGCTGGCATCATGCCATCACGCTAATATCCTCCCCTGCCCTGGCAGGCTGGCAACATTTCAGTGATGATCTGCAGTCTCTCTGGAGCCCTGCGGGGACTCAGACACAGTCTCTCTCCGCTGGTGCAGTCCCTCCGTCGGCCGGCGCACACCAGCGCCTATCACTGGCTGAGTGGCAACGGCAACAGCTATGGCGGACAGTCGCGGTGGCAGTACACACCCGATGGAACCGTGTTTCACTCACCGGGAAGCAGGCCCTCCTCACAAGCCGTCAGCGATACGCACTTTGACTTCTCTCCATACCAGTGCGTTGGCTTCGACCTGGACAACACGTTATGTCAGTACCGCGTACGGCCCCTCATGGAAATGGCCTACTCGCAGTGTCTGGTGCCACATCTCATCGAACGATTCGAGTTCCCCGGAGACGTGTTTCTCGACATGGATGACGGCTCGGGGCTGTGCGCGCGGGGTATCGTCCTGGACGCGCCGCGCGGTAACCTGCTGAAGCTGCGTCATGACGGTGCTGTTCTGCGCGCCACACACGGCTCGCGGCCCCTGACTCGGGAGGAGGTGATTGATGCGTACGGCACCCACAGCGCGCCGTCGGCTGCGCGAGACCTGGCACTCTCGGTGACTGATCCGCCGTGCGGTCGGCTGCGCACCTTCCGGGACTTCTTCGACGCGCCGGCGGTGCTGGCGGCAGCCTCACTGGTAGATGCTGTGGATGCCGGCCGACTGCCGGGCGCGGACTACGCCACCGTCTGTGCTGCCGCTCAGTCCGGACTGCGCCACATGTACGACCGGGAGAAGTTCGCACAGGATCAGGACGGCTTCTTCAGCCGCCTGCGGGCGGACACGACGGCCATCGCGCACCCATGCAGTCCGGCCGTGCTGGAACTGCTGCGGCAGCTGCGGCGAGACGGCAAACTGCTGTTCCTCGTCACCTCGTCGCACGTCGACTACGCCCGGCACATGGCCGAGCTGGCGCTCGGCGCCGACTGGTTCCAGTTCTTCGACGTGGTCGTCACATACGCATGCAAGCCTCGGTTCTTCACAGGTCGTGCGCCGTTCCTGTCGGTCGACTCATACGATCGTGAGGGTGCCGTGGTATCGGCCGAAGCGCTCCGCCCGGGCCGTGTGTACTCACAGGGCAGTTGGGCCGACCTGTACTCGTTCCTACGGCGAGAAACCGCCACCGAACACCCGATGTGCGTGTACATCGGCGACAACCTGGCGTACGACGTACACCCAACGCGGGTGTACACGCGCAGTCACGCGCTGGCTGTGTGTGAGGAACTTGAAGCGGAGCACGGCGTACGCTGCTCTAGCGGCCAGCCGACCTCACTGCGACACTCTACCGTCTGGGGATCCATGCTGCGGGAGGGGGAGCACGACACGCTCTGGGGCGCAGTGGTGCGCCGTGCGCGCGCCTGTGTGCCCCGGCTGGACTACCTGGCCTCCAGACCGGACTGAGCACCCGGAGAGAGGTGGGAGGTTGAGTGGAGATAATGTCAAACCAGAATGTTATGTTAAGTGTGTGCACGAAGAACGTGGTAGCCGTTGTTCACTGTGCGCACTGTGGCGCAAAGTGATTTGCTTGGTCTTCCTTGTCGCTAATGGAGCTATTGCGTGGAAAGGGGAAGCTTTCAGCTCGCTGTACTACGAAGTGATGAAGATGTTCTTGTTCCTGTCCTGTGTTGAGTTTATGCTACATCTCCCGAGCGTTTTCACTGGCTGTATTTGACTGTTCAGTGTTCAATGTGCATTTCGTAGGTCTGTTTTATCTTAATCTTGTTCCTACTTTTAAGTTAGATACGATCGATATCGATAAATATCGATACGATATTTTATCGGTTTCATGATACTAGTGTTGAAAGCAGCGGTCTCTTGCAATATTTTCCGTTTTATTTTACTACTGTAAGGTGATCTTAATTCTTATAGCACAAGACGATTATAATAATTTTACTTTGGAGACTCCGTAGTCCGGTGTCATGCCTGCGCTCATATGCTTGCGCTCGAGCATCGCATCGACGATAACGACTAGCGACTTTTCGTAGTTGCGATCTTGGCCATAAGACCAGGCTCTGCTGTGTGCGGATTTCAAACTTGCGGACTCAGTTATGTCATTCATTTATCTTGTACTTTGTAGCGGTCCATATTTTAAGTCGTACTTACGTGCAATGCAGTGGTAAGTGATATTATTAGAATAAGGCTGGAGACTTCCACACGCGGGTAAGTCGCGTGTAAGTGGTTTGCGGGTAAGTTGGCGTTTATCTCGCGTTTAAGTCGGCGGGTAACTTTGCCCGGAGACTTCCATCTGCGGGTAAATAGTTTGTTCGCTAAGTTAGCGACCGAACTTACACGCGAGCCACCCCATGTATTAAGTTCGCGGGTATCTTTTCGGTGGTGCTTTTTTTGGTCCTTAGGGGGTTTTAAAAGTTTATTTCTGTGCAAATTTTAAGTGCAAGTGATAGACAATAGTGCAATCATCTAGTTCAGGCTTTTTCAGCCAGTTCGGCCTAGCCGTTCGGCTGCTAAGATTAGACGAATTTGAGGTCACCTTTTCATAGTACTGAGGCCAGTTTTACCAACAGAAAAATAGCCGCCTGGCGGAATTTTTCGCCTAAAGGCCGATTCACATACGGATCGAGAGCGGTAAAGCCCTATCCGCTTACGTGCTTATCGCGTTTCCACTCCGTATGTGAAACGGTCTTTAGGCAAAAAATTCTGCCAGGCGGCTATTTTTCTGTTGGTTAAACTGGCCTCTGTGCTTGTTGAGGGGTTACAAATTACGTATTTCATCACTGCAAGCATCCAGATGTTTTCAACAAGTCATACATGAGTAATCAGAGCAATATTTGAGTTGACAGAATTGAGGATGTAGGACTCAAATTTTCAAATACGGAGGTATTAGTCTATTTCCATCGCACCTATCTCCTTGCCACCAGCTGCTATTTCGTAATCTTCGGGATAGTGAGATGGGATTCGTATCGCATCCGAAATAATGAGATCGTCGAGCCAGCCGGCTAGTGTCGGGCCCCTGTCGTCGCACTTCGCGTTACGTGTCAGTGGGGCGAGGACCAGCTCAGTGGAAGCAATACGAGTGTCCGGTCAACAACCATGGACAGGAAGAAGAGGAGCAGAAATTTCAGTAGTAGAGACATGCATTTGTTAGCCGATGTCATGAAGACTGAAGTAAAAGTCATCAAAAATAAGCGACACGATGGAAGGAGTAATGAAGAACGAAAACGGTCTTGGAAGAACATTGTTACAGCCTGTAATGCAAGGTCAGAAGAAAAATGGGACTAGAAACAGCTGACACAGCTCTGGAGAGATATGAAAAGGACGGCCAAAAAGAACCATTAGCGGTTTAAACGGCAGCAAATGGGCACTGGTGGTGGACCGGATCCTGCGCCGTTGGAACGTCAGCCACCCCCGCGACACGCACATATTAAACTGATGACTGATCACTCGGTGATAATCGTCCTTTGTGTGGCATTGCATTGGACACCGACGACGCCTCACCGGTGAAGTGACGGGGCGGGGGTGAGGACGGGGGGTGACGGAGACGAACCGACGAGGGCAGACGAGTAATCTGAGATACGGCTGTTGCAAGATCATGCAGTAGACTGGCGGTCGGCCATACAGAGTGAAATAACACAAGGCGATTAGCATTACTGATGCTGATTGGCACGGCTTCAAACGCTGTTCTGGTTAGGTTAATGCATCACCACATCCCATTGTTACGGCTGTACTCATTGCATGTGCAAAAACGCTGATTGGGGGCCACCGGTCCCATAAATAACGGAATTTCGCACTTGTTCATTGGACCAGCTGATCGCCGCATCCCGATCAGCTGATCGGGAAGCCCTTTAAACTGGCGTGTAAGTCGGCATTTAAATATTTACACGCGTGTAGCTACCCACCAGTTAACCGCGGATGGAAGTCCCCGGGTAAAAGTTGGTGGGCAGCTACACGCGTGTAAGGAAGTTAGCCACCAAAATAAACGCGAGTTAACCGCAAACTGGAAGTCTCCAGCCTAAGTGACCGAATTTTAACAGCGTATTCAACGTTTCATGGTGCCTGGATGTCATTTGCGGTTCCTCTTAGTACCTATGACTTATGAGTGGGGTGGTTTGATTTCGTTTGTCATATAAGTACTCTTGAGGCGAGCGTGAGTGTGGGATTGTTTTTTTTTTTTTCGTAACGAAAGTTTGTCTGTTGGCGTGCTTGCAAAGTTAATTATGAGAAAGACTGCGACTGGCAATAAATTGTAGCTTCATGCCTTACACTACGATGAATGGCTATTCCGTGCGAACACACAAAAGACATGTTTTCGGAGTGTGCCCACAGGTTAATGCTAATCGGTCGCCAAGCTACGAAATCTTGTGCTTTTGCAATCAAGTCGTCTCAGGGCGGAAGGCGTGCTTGCTGTTAGTTTCCTACACATGTGTAATGTGCATCGGTGTGATAAGACGGGCGATGACATACATATTATAGACTGCTCACTAAGAAACCAGCCAGTGATCACTAAAGGCACAATATGCGTAGTATATTATGCTTTGCATGTACGGTACTCTTCTGGATTTTAACTCGTGTAATGTTAATGAATAAATTGTCTATACGACACACGAACAAGTTTTTATCGCTGGCGTGCAACTTTGTCGAATATGCCTGCGTCTGTGCATGTATCGGTGCTTCGTACGCTCCAATGGCATTCCGTCTAGACATTTCTGTCAACATTGGAAGGCCACAGAACTCGCCAGGCTGTATGTGGATTGTGCCTTGTGGAATGATGCCACTGGCGTACAGTTGTATGCCTATGGTGCTCGCCATGGATAAGTGATGTCCTCATCCTTCTCATTTTGATTTGTTACACCTGGGCCAGTTACATATCGTCCAATCACCCGCATTTTTTGTACTATTTGCTCATTTTTAGCAAATGAAAATGAGCAAATAGTTAACGAGAAATGTACGGCCAAGGGCGCACATTCTACTCGTCTACATCGTTCGGATGTGATATGTCGAAAAGCTTATGGTCATGTAGCACTCGCCCTGATTTCTTGAGCGTGCGCGCTGCAACCCCTCGGCATGCACTTCCCTCCAAACTAAAGAGCGCCGTGTCCTTAGCTTGTATTTGGAACGCGTTTCCTGCACCACGGAGTTGGAGTTTTATTTAGACGGGTTATCACCGGTCATCAGCCCGGAACGCGGTTCCCGAGCGAAGGCACTGCACGCACTGGCCGGACGAAGGCACTGCGTATATGTGGTACACTGGCGTGAAGCCGAGCCCGAACATAGGCTGTGTTACGAAACACTGCTGAAGTACTGTAACCGCACTTGCACAGGCACAGAACGTGCGCTGCATTGTGCACAGCTCTGGTGGTCCAGGCAGCACCGCTTGCATGCTATTACGGATGCTAACCCGATTACCTTATCCTTCTATCAGACTGTCCTTTCCCCAACCCCGTTAGCTTAGCCATCTGCCGGTTTCTGGCGCTACCGCAGACAAACCATCGATATGCAACCTTCTGAAAAAGGTTCAGGCGTAACCACTACCCACAGATCTGTGCATATTTCTACCCACCACCTCGTTACCCCGTTATAAAAGCTTAGCCTACCCTGTAACATGTCCTTCCCCACCTGCTTGGTTGAATGCGAGTGCGACTGCTACTACCTACATGATCCGATTGTTCCCTGTGCCCTTATGCACAACCCGAAACGATGAACATCGGAAACTAACCTAAAAGAATCGAGGAACGACGTGAATAGAAGACCTTCCCACTTACAGCTAGCGTTAGTAGCAGTGAGAGGATGCAACCAACAAACATACGGTACCTTGGCCTACAAACCCAACCATCCCGTCACAATGAACAGGTGTTAGTAACAGGCCGACCATAAGTCATTAACTTTCACCACTGCTTCCTCATGCGTAACATCAGGACCACCGTCTACCGTACGGCCTCGCTACGACATCCAAACGTCGCTGGCAGCGAAGTTTGGCGGATGAGTAGCTGAGCCACCCGGGGGCGGATTTTGAGCCTCCCAGGGTCGTGCCAGGGCCGCACGGGGGTCGGGCCAAGGCCGGGCCTCGAGGCCGTCGGACGTTGGCTGCCCCACCGCAGAGGCGCGCTGGCAGCGGCCGACTCCCCCGAAACGTACCGAGGTCACTTCGGGCGGGCCAAATGGCCGGCGCTCAATGTCCTCCAATCAGTGTGAGGTAATGTTACCACCACCACTCTAGATGGAGTACTCTAGCATGGTAAATCAGTTATTTACCAAGTCTTTGAAACGTGTGTAACCGTTTCAACCCCCACGAATGGTGGTCCCACAGTCGCAAGAAATGCTCTCCGAGCGACTGGGATCGGGTGTCAGAGCATGTCATTATTGAACACCCGGTCCTTTAGGGTGTTCAATAATGTTCGCCACTGCACCCGTGGGGAAGGGAATGCTACAAGCTGTATTTTCAGCTTGAGTCTAATCCACAATCGTGGAACTTCCGATACGATCCATATTTGGAGGCCTGTCCTGAACGGACGATCCAAAACCTCAGCGACATGCACTAAGTGTCTCGTCCGTCTCCCTCGCCATTGCAGGGATAAGAGGGAACAGTGAATCGTTCAGGGAGTTGGGTCCACCATGAAGTGGCATATCCTCCCATCCCGAGGGATTCAACCATCCCGGCGACCCATGCCATGCTATCAGAACATGCAGGGCACGCATGGTTATTCCCGGACGAAGCGGCCGAGGCAAAGGGAATTAGAGCCTGTACTTTAGCGATGGCATCCCATGCGGTCAAGACACCGTAGGTGACCATCCCGGTGCAGCTTTGCCTATCCTTGTGGATTAGGCACACGGGTTATGGCCTCCAGGCCATGGTGCCCGTTTACAGGGTCCCAGGCAACCCCAAACGGCGATTGTCTCCCTCAGGATGAAGCCCTATCGTACACCTATCAAACCGGTCTGGTTTGGGCCGATTGGCTAGCCATCACACTGCTCGCATTGGCAGATAACACACACGAAATCGGGGCACCAATGTATTTCAGAGATGCAAAATGCATCAACTGAATGGCCCTCGTCATGAAAAAGGTTCTCTCGAGATTTCGGCATTGTCAGCGATCACCAGCACAATCGGCCCAACTTTTGTGCACCGGGGCCTTCCATCGAGCAACAATCGCAGAGCACACACAAAATGCCACTACACGATCAACACACACAATCGCAAGTAAAAAACGACAACTACAACGCAAATCATGTCCTTGGCTAATATCACAGCGGCTGTGCAAGAACCGACTTCCTGGCACTGGCGCATGATCATCGAGTCGGGGTCACGGCACCACCGAACGGCTGACTAGTAAACCAACACCGTTTACCGTGCAAGGCTGAGCGTTCGCTCGAAATTTGAACCGGCACGTCTGCTGATGTGCCGGCAATGAGGCATGTGTGAAAATTGGTGGCACGTGCAGCAATCGCTGCCAACAGCGGACCCGTCTCTGTCTGCAGCCAGTGGGGAGCGGTCTTTGCACGCCCTTGAGCACCTCAACATAGCGGTAATATCTCGACAAGGCTGGGTAAGTCACTACGACCGCAGCCTACACGGCAAGAGCTTATTGCCGACTAGGTAACCACCCAGCGCGTCTTCCGACATCATGGCACATGAAATAAATACACTACAGTACGCGATTGACATTTCTCCGCGACACTGACACTTCAGCACGAACACCAGTAGCAAAAGCACGGTACAAAACGGCAGCCAGCAGCGGCCCAATCACAGCACCAGCGCTGAGCATTATAACAACAGAAATACCCTCACATTGTTCCTGGCTTTGTGCACATCTCGATCAGTCGGCTGCCGAGGCCGTCCGACCCTCCGCCAGCAGCAGTGGGGTGCTCAATGTTCCATTCAGCTCAGCTTCTCTGGACGGCAGTTCCGTCGCCTTTCAGAAGAGCTGTTTGTGTGAGACCTACAGACACTGCTGCTGCCGCGGGGTTGGTCGGAACGGCGCTCGGATCAAGCCACGACTGGGCGCTCCTGACTATCACGTCTGTTATTTTCAACACAATATAACTCGCAGTTTGCGACAGAACAGCGGTGGGCGATGCTGCCACCGGGAGTAGCACCTGCAGTACAGCCAGCACGACTGGACCCGACTGCTCGGTGGGGTTTGTGTGCGGTTGTGGCTTCGAGTTCCTCATCTTCGTACGTTGTTCATGCCCGTTCAGATCCTGATCAGATCACCGATTTCAGAGGCGTCAGTTTCTCATCAGTTTGGAAGAGCAAAGGTTGTTCCTTACGACAGGTAGTGTTAAGTTCCGTCCGCTTAGCAAGACGACGGAAGCTCCGGTTGAAAAGTAAGAGACATTCCTGGAAGCTGCTACCAAGTATCGGCCGCCGCTACTGAAGCCACCGAGACGAGGAGACGGCAGAAGTATTTTGTGGAGCCGCTGCAGCAGAGGAAGACACTGAGAGGAAGGCACCGATGACATCCGGGCTCCGAGTGGACCCCCGAGTTACTCAGGCCACCGTCTGCTTGTCCAGGATGGCGCGCCAGTCTGGGATCAGCTTCTGAAGATTGTCTTCAAATACATTCTCCAGTCGCCTCAAATGCTTGTGTACAGGCGGCTCTTTCTGAGAGTGGGATAGCAAGAAAACGTCAGTCTTTAGATAGATACGCAGCGACATGAACCCGAGTGGGATAAATCGGGCAGGTGAACAAAACAAAGCTTCTGAACGATGCCAAATACTTATAATAGACTAGGTATAGTTTTGCTCGGCGTGTTATTACGCCGCAAAATAGGCGTTGTTACGAGTCTTTCTCATGCTTCTGTTGAAGGCCCACTCACAAAACAATGTCCTAACAGCATGATTAGTTACGAATTAAAACCCTTTCCTAAATATCAGCCCTTGTTATATGTTAACAATGACAACCCGATACCTTAACACTTCAAAAGATGGCTACTGACCTGTAAGCTCGGGTTTTGGGCGATCAGCTTCCTTAGCGCGGAGATAAACTCTGGGAAGCTGCTGAACCCATTCGAGAGCAGGCGCTCCCTGATTTTGTCGAGGGCTGGCGGACGCGCGATGCCACGGAACTGTGGCATCCTCTGAAACGACGAGGGAAGCGTCAAATCCCAGTGACAGGTGCAAAGACACGACGAAAATGGCCAACACACTGATGTTTGTCATCCATTTCCTTCTCAATCGTGAAAAGTCGTCATGAATTTTGACAAACTGACCTCAGGTATTACATTTTCGCGTGCCTATGATGACAATGTCAATAGTATCAACTGCATCAGCTTTAACGGTTTTCATACGCTCCCGACAGGTCCTCCTGAGCCCTTCATACCTTGTACCGCTGGCAGACATGAAGGACGCCGGCATGGTAGGCATTCTGCCTGGTGAGGCCCTTTTCAATCAGAGGCTTCACTTCGGTCGAGATGATCTTTAGCCACGCACGTGTGTAACTCCGTTGACTCTTTTTCAACTGAAAATACCGGGGTAAGATAGTTAGGATCGTGAGACATAAACACCAATTAGTAGCATAAAGAAACAATTTTTGCCATCAGTTAATATTGGTCTAGCATTAGATGGAAACAAAATCAAAATAAAATGTTCATCAACATACTGGTAGCCGCTCATACGTAGTTGTAGTGGTGAACTGAATCAATACACAAAACAATGATATCTTATCAACCATACAAGCAAGTAACAAGTAGCTTATATCCCGCCCATGGCCGTGACAGCCACGAACCAACCGTCAAACCACGACTCACCGCCATACTCTCCAGACACTGGAAGTGGATGGATGGGTAGAATGCCGTGAAAAGCTCGGCGAGGAGACGCCGTGCCACGGCCGCCTCCTGATCCCCCAGCCCGGAGCTGGAGCCGGCGGCGAGAGGCGACGGCAGGACCGGCGCAGGGACGCACAGCGAGCACTGCCACTGGTCGCTGCGGGTGGAGGCACACGTGGTGGTGAGAGAAGGCGATGTCGAGTGTGCACGGTGCAAGGGTTTTTATTTTTGGGAAGTTGCACGTCACGAGCAGGCATCTTTAGAGATTTGGCACACCTGAAGGTGGGAAAATTTATGAAATGTGGCAAAAATAGCTTGTGATTATGTCCCCGGACATCTGTGGTTCACACAGTTAGGTCTCAGACCGCTTTAAAAAATAACAGCAGTAGAATGGTAAAGCCTCGTTGTTTGTGAGGAAAGCTAGATCACCGATTAATAAAGATCCGTGTTTGTTGAAACAATTAACAACATTTTCTTTGCCTTGGTCTGACACAGTCACCGTCGGCGTGTCGCTCACCTCAGATCGCCTGGCAGCTTTCCGATGTAGCAGGCACGATGGAAGGCCCGGCCGCACGGACCACAGGTCACCAGCTGCCCGCTGTCCGACCAGCAGAGCACGCAAAACTCCACGGCAAGATGGCCGCTAGCGCGCTTTGGAGAGCCAGACACTCCGTCCGCAGGCTGTGGCGTCGTCGACGGAGGTGGCGGAGTCTGCGCAGGAGGAGGTGTCTGAGCCGGAGGAGGTGTCGGCAGTGACGACTTCGATGGCGGCTCCGATGCGGCACTAGGTTTATTGGAAGAGGAAGTAGTGTCCCGTCCATTGGCCGCTGCAGGAGGTGGTGTGGCTGACGGCGGCGGTCGAGTGGGACACGCAGGTTTGGTCGCGGGAGTCGTCGAGGACTGTTTTGATTGGTCGGTGTGTTTTGGAGCGTTGTTCGTCACTCGAATTTCCTTGGAGACTGTCTTTGGGTGGTCTACCTCCTTGGCACTTTCTGTGATATGGTCCTGTTTTCTCGAACTTCCCGAATGTTTTCTTTCCTTATCCTTAGCCTCAGAAGGCTTATGGCTTTCCCCTTTGTCCTTGCTAGATTTCGTGACGTTCTGATGTTTGCCTGAATCCTTCCGTACAGATGGCTCTTTGTCTACCTGCTTCTCGGTGGATTTGGTTTTCTCAGACTCGTGCTTCCTAGCATGAGTGGGACTCTTTTCTGACTTCCTATGATGTGAATGTGTACCCTCGGACTTCTCAGAAGCAGACTTCCCACTAGAGCTGGTCTTCTCCCTGCATACCGCCTCTGGTGCCGTGGAGGTCTTCTTCGTCTCAGCACTCTTCGGTGCATGAGTCACAGCCTTTTCAGAGTCTGACTTCTTGGTGACCGCAGATGCCTTCTCAGCTTGTACTTTGTTTGAAGCTGTCGGGGTCGACTTTGTTTCTACTCCCTTGGAATTCGTCGAGGACTTTTCCTTCTCCTTCGTAACGTCTCCCGAGCTGCTAGCGGTCTTCTCAGACCGTGCGTTCTTTTCACCATCCTTGGCCTTCTCTGCCTCCGCCTTTTTATGAGCAGTTGAGGCTTTCTCTGCATCAGCTACCCTGCCAGCAGCGGAAGCCCTCTCAGTATCAGCACTCTGGGCGACAGTGGGTGTCTTCTTTACTGTTTCAGTGTCCTTAGAAACAGCTGCGACTTTCCCTGTATCCGTCTTCTTTGCCACGGGCGATATGTCCTCACCCGCTCTCTTAGTACCCGTAGTAGCTTGGTCCGTAGTCTTCTGAGTCGCCTTTGCCTTCTCGACAACCGGTGAAGATCCGCCGGCTTCTTTGGTACCACTGGTAACACTTGTCTCCTTATCAATCTGCTTGCTTTGTTCTACCGCTGTGGCGGCGACTGCAGCTTGCTGTGTAGCAGTAGTGTTCTTCACCGCTTGATGAGCCGGGGTGCTCCCTGCTGCCTTTTCGGGAGTAGACCGAATCGTGTCCTGCTTTTGAGGTGAACTTCTGACCTTTTCTGGCTCGCCTTCCTCGGAGACCGTTGGGGCCGGTACAGCAGGCGCATTGCCAGCCGCCGCCTCGGCAGGCACTTGCTTCGTTGGAGGGGAAGCCGGTCGTGCAGGATTAGATGACGTCGTTTCACATACCGGTTTTGTCACAGTCGTCTGTGGTTTTGACGCAGCATTTGGCGACTTTCCTGCATCGTGGGCTGGTTTTCCAGCATCAGATGCCGGTATTTCAGGAGCAGACGCTGGCTTTGTCGTAGTTTTCACCGGTGAAGCTGGTTTCGTCGCAGAAGGTGTTGACTTTACCGCAGATGGCACCGATTCCGAGGAATCACCAGCTGGTTTCGCCGCATCACCGGACGGTTTTTCCACAGTGGGAGCTGGCTTTGTTGTAGTTTTCACCGGTGAAGCTGGTTTTGTCGCAGGTGGCGCTGATTTTGTCGCAGACGGCGCCGATTTTGTCGTATCATCAGATGACTTCGCCGTATCGCAGGACGGTTTTTCCACAGCGGGAGCTGGCTTTGTCGCAGCAGTCACCGGTGAAGCTGGCTTCGTCGCAGACGGCGCCGACTCTGATGTATCACCATCTGTTTTCGGCGGAGCACAGGCCGGTTTTTCCACAACGGGCGCCGGCTTTGTCGCTCTTTCCAACGATGAAGCTGGTTTCGTCGCAGGTGGCGTTGACTTTTCCGCAGCAGGCGCCGATTTTGTCGCATCATCCGATGACTGCGCCGTATCGCAGGACGGTTTTTCCACAGCGGGTGCTGACTTTGTCGCAGCCTTCACCGGTGACGCTGGCTTCGTTGTAGAAGACGTTGACTTTGCATCAGACGGCGCCGATTTTGCCGCATCACCAAATGAGTTCGCCGTATCGCCGGCCGGTTTTGCCGCATCACCAGTCGACCTCGCCGCCGTATCACAGGATGCTTCTTTCGCACTGGACGCTACAAACGCTGGTTTTGTCGCATCACATGACGTTGGCTTCGCCGCAGAAGGCACCGATTTCGCTGTATCACAGGCTGATTTCGCCGCATCACAGGTCGGTTTAGCCGCAGTAGCAGTAGTAACCTCCGGGACCTCTCCTGTGCCCCGACCACCCTCCATACCCTGTCCATCCTTGCCGGCTGCGACTGACGCGAGGGTGTCAGTGGCACCGCTGAAGAGCGGGCTGGAGGTAGCCGAGCGCACGGGCGAGGCGCGCGTGTCCTCCTCCTCGGGTTCCTCGACGCAGAGCACGATATCGATGAGGTCGTACTCGGTCGAGGAGCGCTCCTCGGTGGAGCTAGCGCGGCTCGAGTGCTCCTTGGGCGCGCAGTTGCGCAAAATCAGCTGTTCAGTGGTGAGAGCGGGAGAGTCTGCAAAGAAAACGAGACGTGCGCCTGGTCAGTGTCGATCATGGTGATCCAGAAGTCAGACCATTTACTGGTAAAATACGCAGGTCGCAGATTTACTTTTTGCTGACAGAAAACAGATAAGCGTTAATGCTTCGAAATAGAAACATATGTCAAAACATGTGTTTTAAGATCCACTAATGGATAAGCTCAAATCACCTATCGCACAAAAGATACCTCCCATGTCTATGATGATCGCAAAAGCTACCAAACAGCTGAAAGCTTCTAAAAGACACACATACACTGAACACTCACCTGGTTTGGCTGGTACCGGCTCATGATCTTCGCTACCGGCCTCACTCTCCTCAGCGATCGGTTGCTCTTCACCTGTCGGTGACGTAATCGGTTGGTGCGACGGTGACGCCATCGACGGGCGGCTCGGTGACGCCATCGGTGACGTCATCGGCGAGCTGGTGACACTCACCGGCGGCGGTTCGGCCGCCTCGTCCGCCGCCGGCTCCGGCTCCGGTGACGCCGTCCAGGCGATGTAGTCGGGCTCCACGGCCTCGCTGCGGGCCTGGCCGCGGCCCCGACCGCGCGGTTTGCCGGCGCTCGTATGGTGGTTCCAGGTGGGGTTAGCAGGACGGACCCGGGTCGTAACGGGAGGTCGGGGCACAGCCGACTCGGGCTGCTGGGGGCGGCGAGGAGCGGGAACACCGCCGGCCGGCTGACCGCCCGACGGTCGGTTCAACATGAACCGGTTCGGCGGGGTGTCCGTCGGCCGCTGTGGCATCAGGTCCACTGGGAGGCTGGATCCATCCCGACCGCCACCGCGACCCCGGCCCCGACCCCGACCTCGACCGCGGCCACGGCCACGCTGAGAGCCTCGGCCGACCGGTGGATCTGTGGCGGATGGTTCAGTGCGGTCGGGCGGACTTGGTAGCAGTTTCCCAGCCGACGGGGTCTTCTCCCACTCACTGAGGCCCACTTTGGGCACCCTCTGATTCTCCTTCTGGGACGGCGCCGGCCTCTGCTCCCGGCCCGCCGCTGCTGTCTGTCTCGGCTGATGCTGCTGCCGCCGGTGGGTCTCACCGCCCGTCAGCTCCCGGTCTCCGAGCCTCTCGCCACTGCGATACCTCTTCTTCTCAGGCTCGCCGTTTCCCGAATCGATCCTGCGCTTCTCGCCGTGTTTATCCCGAGTCCTACCGCCGACCTCGCTCTGCGACTCGATCGGCGAGTGGAGAGACCGCGGGTGGAGAGGGCTGGTCGCCGACGCACTCGTAGGTCCCCCGTGGATGACAACCATCGGGGGCGCGGGCCTGGAAGGGGCAGGTCGGTGCTCTTCATTCTTGGCTGGCCCGTCCATCTCTTTGGATATCACCGGACGAGCTGATTTTGACGTATCTGGATTGCTTGACTGAGCATTGGTCGTGTGTCGATTTTCTTCGGTATCCGCAGATACCTCCGAGTTTGCAGATGGCGCTGGAGTCTGCCCGGCAGAATTCTCATCATTAGTCTCCGAGGAGAGCCCAGTAGCTCGAGTGACTGAGAGCCTCCGGTTAAACTGACGCCGACGGTGAAAGGCATCCAGCGTTCTATCCAGCTGCTTCTGGTGTGAACTGCCGCCATCAGCGGGTGCATCGTCTACCACCAGTCCGTCACCGGTCTCCAGAGAGAAGGTCTCCGTGATCACCAGTGAGGAGAGCCCGCTGTTGTCTGCCGTCTCCGATACCGGCTCGTCACAGTCGATGATCTCTGGAGCGGCGGTGTCAGACGCCTGGTGGCCGCGTCCGGAGCGGCTGAGGTCACCAGAGGCCCGCCGGGACTTGGACGGTGCCTCAGACGACTGGTGTGCTGTCGCTGGTTGTTGTCCTTCCGCCGCCGGCGAGCTCTGTAAATAAATAGAGAATATGTTGTAACAGCTTGTCGGCTGGGACACAACCATTACTTCGAGCGAAAATGCCGCAGAAAAACACTCCTGTTAGTAGGGTCTACGAAAAGATCATTGAACATGACAATCGTCTAGCACACCAAATACGAAAACGTGACGAGTTTGACACGATATAAATCGGAAGAGAAAATACGGTAGAAGCATCATGTCAGCCAAGATAAGCAACCGGTCAGGTCAGAATGCATCCCCTTCAATAAATCACTTTCATCCTTCTTACCTGTCCGTGCTGGTCCTCCTCTGGAAGTGTCCGCTTCCTTCCGAGCGGCACCTTCAGGTGCTGCTGCAGCGAGAACTCGGGCGTCGGCCGTGGAGGCGAGCGGTGACCCGGCCCCACCCCCGGCGCTGGGTCCACACCAGTAGTCGGCCGCGGCTCTGACGGTGCAGGCGACCGCTGCAGCCCTGGAGACGCAGCGGGCGCCCGGGGCGACGGCTGGGGAGGGGCCGCAGCCGCCGGGGAGGGGGCGGGGGTGACGCCCGGACCTGTCAGGTCACGGGGCGGGGTCACCACAGTCACGTCGTCGATCAGCGAGGACAGTGTAGGGTTATTCTGTTGGATGGGTGTCACCCGGGGCGGTGCTGGCCCGGACGAGGGCGGTCGCTGTGCCGGGGAGGTCTGGGGGACGGATGCCGCGGCCGGCGACCGCTGAGGCTGCTGCTGCTGTTGCAGAGGCGGCGTCTGCTGGGAGGAGCGTCTGACCATATTCGCCAGCTGTCCGAGCGGCTGGTGCGGCGATAGCTGCTGCGGGGGGCGGAGACGATGATGATGCTGCTGCTGCTGCTGCTGCTGCTGCTGCTGTTGTTGGACGTACTGCTGTTGCTGGTTGTACTGAGACTGATCCTGCCGATGATGCCGGGGAAGCTGTTGCTGCTGCTGCTGTTGCGGATGGTGGATGTATTGCTGTTGCTGGTGCTGTGCGTGATGTTGTTGTTGTTGTTGCTGCTGCTGCTGCTGCTGTTGCTGCAGAATTGGCTGCTGGGGGAGGACAGATGACAACCAGTTCGGGTCGGATTCCACTCTCATCCGCAACTGATCCATCAGAGTACTGTGGTTCTCGTAGCCGCCCATCCCATCTGGGGCCGCGTAAGCCGGCTGCTGCATGTTCTGCTGCTGGAACTGCATCTCCTGCTGAGGATACTGCTGCGAGTAGTGCTGCTGCTGCGCCATCTGACCCTGGTACGGCACCTGCTGCGCCATGCCGGACCCGTAGGGAGGCGGCTGATGGGCGCCGGGCGCAGGACTAGGGGTGGGGCCGGCGGGCGCGGGTGTCTGCTGGCGTCGCGCTACCTGCGCCGAGTAGCCGTGCTTAGCCTTCAGGGTGCTATAAGCCCGCCATACACAGTCGTACATGTCCGGTCTCAGGCCACCCGCAGGCACCTCGTTCAGGGCGCTGAACAAATCATCCAGCAGCTGCACGCCGAAGTCGGTGTTCTTGTGAAAGTGTTTCTTGGAGAAGAACAGCATGATCTTGCCGACGGCGTTGCACAGCTCGTTCCTCTTGCTCTCCTGGAGGCAGCGTTCACCGTCGTAGAGCAGGTAACCCATCATGTCGTTGATACCTGACGGATGGAGAGACATTGCCAGGTGAGCCCAGCTGCTGATTTGTATTTGTGGAGATTTTCGCATAGTTTGTCAGCAGTGTGCACTGTGCACCACTGTGCGTGCACACAGATGAACGCTCATTCGTGACATGGGTCCATAGGCCTTGGTCCATAGTAGAATAACATCACATCCAAATCAGCTAGACTTAACTCACTCGCATAAGAGCCGGTGAATGTGCACGCAACTAAAAATCTGACGCAATTATTAATATGTACTGATAGTAAATTTATTACAGTTATCTAACAAAATATTTCGGCAAACACTGACAAAACCGATATAACAAAATAATGTACTTACTATCCATGCCAAGGAAGCGTTTCATGCGCACATCTGGGAGTTTTCGATCCTTTTCGGGTGCGAGGTTCACTCTATGTAACCGCTTGGATAGATCCAACACATGCCTGGGGACAATATCAACCAGTTAGCAGACGAATGGCTGACTTCAGCTGCCAGAGAAGTCCCCTTTGGATGCGAGAGCCTCGTCGCTACGCGTCCAAAATCACCATAACAACGGAGAAGGTCGACCAACGCACTAAACCGGTGGTCAATCCAGGCGAGCTTACACATATGATAGCATATCTTCTGCTACTAGCTGTAAGAAAGGCAGCTGATGAACCGCCAGGCTCTCTGATTTTTCTCCCAGGTGATTTAATATCGGTTTACGATAGGTTTATAATAACACCGACTAGCTGTGTCAATCTGTTAATACGCCAGGTGTTCGTCGCACTCACCTGGCGCACTGGCGGATCCAGGTCCGGGTTTTGGGAGGGGCAAACAATAACAATTTAGTGACTCTTTCCATGCACTGTATATAGGCGTAATATTAAAATTTTGCCATTTCGGCCGGAGGGGGAGGGGGAGGCAATGGCCCTATTTACCCTCTGCTCGACCCACCACTGACCTGACGTTTCCGATGACGGTGGAGGGCCGCGCCTTTTCCATCAGGTGCTCGGTGAAGCTGTCCAGGTGCGCCAGCCGCAGGTCCACCAGCTCCGTCTTGGTGAGCCGCATGTCCAGCTCGCTGGTGTAGTTGTCGTAGTGGACCTGCGTCAGCCGCAGCTGCTCGGTGAAGAACGACCGCAGCCTCTCCTGGTAGCTGCCGGTGACAGGCGGGACAGGCGGTGAATGCAGTCGGAAGAGGAAATAATAGGTGACGACAGGCGGTGAATACAGTCGGAAGAGGAAATAATAGGTGACGAGTACGACAGATGACCGGTTGTGGCGGCTTGAGATGGTTTGGTCAGTAACCACGACATCAGGATACAGCTGATATAACGTGCCGATTCACTAAAAATAAAGGTGACAACTCAACCGATAAAACAGCATCAATTATCACGTTCATCCCGTGATGGCAACGTTTTGCATAAAATAACTACACGAAGAGGGGTTAAGTGAGCAAAAACGTTACTCATATCCACCATTGCTCAGATCCGCCAGATCACACATTACTTCTTGATTTCATATATCACACTCGCATGACCCTAGCAATCCTTGGCTGCTGAATTACTCGTCCTAACGCGCACGCACAAACATCATGGACAGAGTTACACACTCACGCATCATGGGCTGCGATGATGTCATTGACACTTGACTCCTTCGCCGCTTTCGCCTCTCCAATGCGCTGTCGAAGCTGCGTTCGCTGCTCGTCGAGCTGTTTCCGCTGCTTCCTGATGAAGTGAGAGGGCCGCAGTTCAGAGAGGAGAGCTCTCGAGTCTCGGGGCTTACTTTCACCGAAATGTGACCATCGTCCGCCGGAGTTGTGTGACACAACAGCCCGACACGCTGATCGGGCTGACCTGGTTCTCAAATACCGACACTCGAGCACAATCACTGGGTCACAGGACACAACAGACGCTGGGGAGGACATCTCAGTCATATGCTTTGCAGTTTGTAATAGTCCGTAAAGGCTGACAGTTGAACGTCACAAATGTTGGAAGGCAACAAATCGTCATATGTTTGCCTTCCAACAAACATAGCACGAGATGATATCTGCCTATATATATATCCTATATAGATATCTATATAGATGATATCTGATAAAAGGAGCACTTTGTGATGCTGTTACTGGCGATAGAACTACACGATCTACACGCGGAGCATTTATTTGGCTTGGGAAACACGTTCCTCTGATGAGGGGGAACGAGTTCGGATTTTGATATCTGTAAGTTTTGTCATTTTTTATTTTTGTCCATACTCGCATTACCCCTCCCCCGGCCCCAATGTAATATAGACTATCACGTCGTTGCAACTGGAACGGAGCAAAATCGACATATCTTTTTTGGCTGATTTTCATGCCAGACGCACAACGCACATTCATCGTGAGGAGAAAGGCGCGCAGCTGAATCTAAAAACGTCTTGTTGTTCTGCATTGCCTTTATCAGCATACTTTTTCCCGTCTCCGGCGGTGTCACGGTCGCCCACTGGCCAAAAACCGGCACTTGACAGCGCACAAAAACGACGTTTTGTTAGCTGTTTACTCCTATCGCCTTGGTAGGTATATGATTGGAATTTGAATAGGTACACGCAGCGGCAGCGCTCAGCAGATCAGCGATAAAGCTAAGTCTCTGCATAGCGAAGTAACTGCATAGTTAAATCGAGAGAGAAGAAGCGACTATAGCAGACACGACTGAGTGAGTGAGAGAAAGAGAATGCCGGGAACAAAAAGAGGAGATAAGGTAAAAGAGAGAGAGAGAGAGAGAGAGAGAGAGAGAGAGAGAGAGAGAGAGAGAGAGAGAGAGAGAGAGAGAGAGAGAGAGAGAGAGAGAGAGAGAGAGAGAGAGAGAGAGAGAGAGAGAGAGAGAGAGAGAGAGAGAGAAATGGAGGGGGTGTAGCCCCTGCATGTACCGCCGGTCACCGCTAGGCGCGTTTACTTCCGCCGGTCACCGCTAGATGCTGTGAACCGCGAGTTACAGTTTTGTTAATAGGTGTCGCTTTTACCAGTCTCTAAATTGCTAAAGCCTTCGATTAAGTTGTGCGCCCCCCTTTTAACGTTCCGTTCGCTTAAACTGCTGTATTGTTTGGACAACTGCATTGGCTGTGTGTATATTAAAAACCGTATGTATTCGTTTATTACATTCGATGTTCTCGCCAACATGTGTGCAATACTAGATAACTAAGTTCGTATGTAAAATTATATATGTCTCGATTTTGTGGCGAAATACAAGAGATATCTGTATGTTACAGTGTTTCTACTGGCTACACCAGCCAGATTGGTGACCCCGCGTTCTGCGCACTAAGGGATCGCTATCCCCTCGTGTTCCCTGGCACACCGACACTGGCCTGCACCCTGAGCTATCTCCTCCAGCTCTCTTTGTGTAGGAAGGAAGTGGCGGATGGTATGTCTTCACGAGGATCCTTCTTTTGTGCTGAGTGTAACTGGATAACGCCGACTACTACTGCTGCACTACGATCCAGCTACATCATCGGCTCACCTTACCGTCCGGCTACCTCTGCAGCTGCACCGCAGCACCTGCCGATCGCCGTGTCGCCGTCGCCGCCACCGATCTTCCCGACCATTGCTCTCGGCAGCCATGGACCAGAAGACCCAGCCTGCCGGCGCCGGTGCAGCCGCCGGCACCGGTGCAGCCGCCGGCGCCGGTGCAGCCGCCGCCGCCGCCTCGCATGCCGCTGCTGCTGCTGCTGCCGCTGCCGCCCAACCGGACTACCTCCGCGTGGCGACCGCGCCACGCAGCCACGTCGCGCCGCCGCGCTTCTTCGAGGAGGACCCCGTGATCTGGCTCGTCCAGCTCGACCTCTTCTTCTCTCAGGCAGCTGTGGACGATGAGCTCAGCCGCTTCCGGATCGCCGCTACTCTTCTTCCTGGCCACCTCCTGCGCGACTTCACCGACATCCTCCGCAACCCTCCTCTAGACCGACCTTACACCATCCTTTCCGACGCCATCCGTCAGCGGTTCGGCAAATCAGTCGAACAGCGTCTTCGCTGCCTGCTCTCTGGCCAACAACTCGGCGACAGACGTCCTTCCCAATTCCTTCGGCATCTCCTGGACCTTGCTGAAGCTGAAGGCTCACAAGATTCCCCGCTCATCCGTCAGATCTTCCTCAATGCTCTTCCGCCTCGGACTCAGCCCTTCCTCCAGTGCCTGCCGCCTGGGACGGACCTTGCGACCATCGCTAGCACTGCCGACCGACTCCTGGAGCTTCCGCAGCAGTCGGACGTCGCTGCACCTACCTCAAGCCTTCTCGCCGCGATATCGACTTCTGCGCCTGCTGCAGCCTCACCTGCTGCTCCTGCAGGACCCTTCCATCTCCAAGACCTGATGAGCCAGCTGCTGACTGGTATCACGGCCCTCACAACATCAGTCGCCACACTGGTGGACGAGACGCGCCGCCGAAAGAGGTCTGCATCCCATGCCCCCGGCCGCGCTCGCCACCGTCCACCACGCGACCTGTCTGCTGCTGCCCGGTCACCCAGCCCTGCAACCAACACGTCTACCGGCGCTGGTGCTTCCTACTGCTGGTACCACCACAAGTTCGGTACCAACGCGCGCTCATGTCAGTCACCGTGCTCGTGGTCTGCAACTGCAACTCAGACCTCGGGAAACCAGCAGTAGGACAGGTGACACAGACGTCTGCACCTGCCCTGCTCAACCCTGACGTCCCTCCAGCCAGCGGCCTTCTGAGACTCAAGGACAACAACACTGGTATCACCTTCCTCATCGACACTGGAGCTGAGTACAGTGTTCTTCCAGCGACACCCACCGATCGTGCTCGCGGAACCAACGGACTGGATCTGCAAGCAGCCAACAACAGCAGCATCCAGACCTATGGTCAGCGCATGCTCACGCTTTCTCTCGGCCTCAGAAGAGATTTCAACTGGATCTTCATCATCGCGGACGTCTCCCATCCTCTCCTAGGAGCCGACTTCCTCTCCTCGTATGATCTCCTCGTCGACACCAAGAGAGGCCGTCTCATCGACCACCTAACTGAGTTGTCTTCACCTGCTTCCCACTCTTCAGTGCCATCCACCGGACTGACAGCCGTCGTCGGAACCGACAACCCAGCATTCCTTAACCTCCTTCGCGAATTCCCCAGCCTCACCCAGCCGTCACATCATCCGGAGCCACAGCACTCAGTCCGACATCACATCGAGACTACCGGCCCTCCAGTCTTCTGCCGCCCACGCCGTCTGGATCCAGCTCGACTCGCCACTGCCAAGGCAGAGTTCCAGCGCCTTCTCAGTCTCGGAGTCATCCGACCCAGCAGCAGTCGGTATGCATCACCGCTGCACATGGTGCCCAAGTCGTCTGGAGATTGGAGACCCTGTGGTGATTACCGTGCACTGAACCGCATCACAGTGCCTGACCGGTACCCACTACCACATCTCCATGACTTCACTGCCTGCCTCGCTGGGACATCAATCTACTCTCGGCTCGACCTCGTCAGGGCCTTCAACCAGATACCGATGGCCCCAGAAGACATCGCCAAGACAGCGATCACAACGCCCTTCGGCGCCTTCGAGTTCCTCCGTATGCCGTACGGTCTCCGGAACTGCGCTCAGACCTTCCAAAGGTTCATGGATCACATCCTCCGTGGCCTAGACTTCGCCTTCGTCTATGTGGACGACATCCTCATCGCCAGCAGCAGCATCTCGGAACACCTGTCACACCTCCGAGAGGTCTTCAGCCGTCTTTCCCGCAACGGTGTGCTCCTCAACCCATCGAAGTGCGCCTTCGGCATGGAGAGCATCTCCTACCTCGGCCACCAGATCTCCAGCGGAGGCATCACTCCTCTCGACGATCGAGTCAGCGCGATCAAGAACTTCGACCGTCCAGAGTCAAAGAAGAGCCTCAAGAAGTTCCTGGGGATGATCAACTTCTACCATCGCTTCATCCCACACGCTGCTGCTCTTCTGGCACCTCTCCACGGCCTGACTGCCTCAGACGACCGAGCTGCTTCAATCACGTGGACCTCAGAGGCAGACGCCGCCTTCTCTGCAGCCAAATCCGCCCTCGCTGACGTCACCCAGCTCGCTCATCCCGTCAAAGATGCAGCCCTGAGCCTCAGCACTGACGCCAGCAGCACGGCAGCCGGCGCCGTGCTCCACCAGCGAGTTGGTGGTTCTCTTCAGCCTCTCGCCTTCTTCTCGCGCAAGTTCACGCCCACCCAACGCCGCTACAGCACCTTTGGACGGGAATTGCTCGCCATGTACCTCGCCGTGCGACAATTCCTGCCCTATCTGGAAGGACGCGACTTCGAGATCCTCACGGACCACAAGCCGCTCGTCTTTGCTCTCAAGGCCAACGGCAACGCCAACCATTCTCTCCGTGAACAACGTCACATGGACCTGATTCTGCAGCACACCAGCAAGATCGGACATGTTCCTGGACATCTCAACCCGGTAGCTGACGCCATCTCACGGATCAGCTCAGTGTCTGCGCCAGCTTCTGCCGCAGCTACACCTTCACCCGGCCTTCTGAGCTTGGCCGACATCGCCCTACACCAAGCCAACGATCCTGACCTGCCGAAGCTGCAACAATCCTCATCTCTGATCATCCGTGACTTCCCAGTCCCTGATCATCCGCATCTACGTCTCTGGTGCGACACCTCAACGGCCACACCTAGACCTGTAGTCCCAGCCAGACTCCGCCCTTCCATCATCAAGAGCTTCCACGACTTGTCTCATCCTGGCATCAACGCTACGCGTCAT